TTACTTGTCCATGCACTAAGCTGCGATAGGAGAAAGTATTGCAAGATTGCAAAAAAATTACACACTTCAGCTTTAAAGTGTGCCACAATCACAGTTATTTCCTTAGATGGCATGAATGAGAGCAGAGTGCCCTGGAAATACTGTTTCTGCTGAGAAAAATGGGGTGAACAAGCCCTAAACACGCATCATCTCAGGTTTACAGCATGGCGACAGGGAAGAACATTTAAAGCAGAATAGCGAGCAGAATAGCGAGCCGTCCATTTGAGCCGAATAGAGAGCTTGTACGTAGGTGTACGGAAGAAGAAAACCAATTATGTTCCAACTCTTCACAAGCATTTCACACGAGAATCAGACAGCTATGCAGAACGAACTACGCATCTGGTCTTGCGAGTGTGTTTGAGTCCACTAACCCCTTTCCTAATGATAGGCTGGTGGTAGAGTCCCTCTCTGTCTCTCATGCATCAGTGAATTCAGATGTAGTCATGCACCACACTGTCATGTGACATTTGTCAGCCTTCATTCACTCAGATGTCAAGGGTTTGTGTTTAATTGAGCAGCAGTTACAGGTTTAGCGTGCTGCCGTGCATGGCTTCATCTGCTGTAGTGGGCTGAATATTGTTTGGCACAGCAGAGATAAAGTTTTGTGCAACGACGCAAAGTTGCTGCAGGCATCTTTGGTTCACAGCTGTCATGATGTCAAAACAATGTATACTGCACAAGAATACTGAATTCCCTCAAGCTTGGCCATGCTCTGAATAATAATCTCTAGTGAACTCTGAAGTGTTAAAAGCAATCATACATAGCGATGACATAAGAATGCATGTAAAGTATGTGCAAGTTATTTTGCAAATGCATAAACAAACCAGTTAAAACTGGAGAAAAATGTTGTTGTTTCTTACTAAAGAACTACTAGTTGCCTGTTCCTAAAAATATAGCGCAAACTATCACACAGACCACTGCTGTTTATAAATTTCGATCTTTCTTAAGCAAGAGCAGGAAATAAATAGATGTCAGATGCAGTTTTGGGGAAACTATTTACAGCTCTGGTGATTACTTGTATAATGTTCCTGTTTCGAATTTATTCTAAAATAGCCATTTCTCATATCTCTTAACCAGCAAGTGGCACTGTGACAAAACTGGGCAAGTAAACTCATGCTTATAAATGACAGGTACTAAGATTCGTCACAATATTGCGTTGTAGCATAACATCTATTTTGGCATGCTCTTCCTCAAATTATTTTATGTGCTGTTTGACAACCATTTGGTCTATTGAAAATATTTTAATAACTTTTTGCCAGCATGATCTGAAGATGATCTGAGTAAATTTTTGGTAAAAAAATCAGATGAACCATTTGGTTGATGAAGGTTGAAGAAGAAGAAGAAGTTTAAAGAAGAAGAAGGAGGAGGTAAATGTGAAGAAGTAGTAGTAGTAATAGCGGTGCTGGGCTGCTAATGAGATTAATGGGAACACATTTCCCCTTCAGGAACTCGAGCTGCGTCGAGTCGCTTTGGGAACGGCCATTTGGTCTATTGAAAATCTTTTAACATCTTTTTGCCAGCATGATCTGAAGATGACGGGTACATTTTGGTAAAAATCGGATGAACCATCTGGTTTTAGAAGGTTTTACAAGAAGAAGAAGAAGAAGAAGATGATGATGATAAAGAAGAAGGAGGAGAAGAAGGAAAAGAAGGTGAAGAAGAAGGTAAAGACAAGAAGGTGAAGAATGGCCGTTTCTCAATATGCGTTCTTCAGCGATTTTGCATCCTTGTGTTCTCGTTCTACATCATCATTAACCGTCGAAGTCCAATTCTCAAGAACGCAATGAAGGTTCCTGGATGTGTTCTTGATATCGAGGATGCATCGAGTGCAGACTTGAGAGAATCGAGCCGTTAGAATCCCAGAAGACACCTGCGGGCGGCCGGTGTACGGAAGCCTGCAAGCTATAAACTCACTCTCGAAAATACTTGACGGCTCTTGAAAGTAAACATTAATCGTTTTGTTTTGCTTAATTTTAATAAAGTTATAAGACCCAGAGAAAGTCTGCAGTATTTTTATTGGCATATTAAAATTAATCTTAAAAGGGTCATCGGATGCGACATGCACTTTTACAAGCTGTTTGAACATAAATGTGTGTTGGCAGTGTGTGTACACAACCACCCTATAATGATAAAGATCCACTCAGTGTTTTTTTTTTTAAATCTTGTTAAATAATTTCCCCTTTCTCAAATCGGGCCGATCTCAGATGCCGGTCTGTGTGACGTCACACAGACAGGCCCCTCCCATGATTGTTTGATTGACAGTAGCGTTTCAGCACAGACTATACTGGTGTCTTATCTTAGACCCGCCCTGAGTGAGCTGTCAACAGTCCACCATTGTTTTACCGCCAGAGCAGATGTAGACAAGAATGTCTCTTAAGCGATTGAGGTGTTTTGTTGTTGGATGTAATAATGAACATAGCAGTCATCATTTACTCCCGACATCTGAGTCTATGAAGACACAGTGAATTACTTTTGTTTCTGAAGGGAATGTGCCCCCTGATCAAAGTTATCTATCTTCGTGTGAATCATTCGTGATCCAGCTTCACCTCCAGAAGAAGTGGGTGTAAGGTTTTTTAATGAATCTTTGCAAATCAACTTTCCTAATAATGTGCTAGCGAGTTTCACGATGAATGGTTTCCCATCCCGATAAAGTTTACCATCTCTCAGAGAGCGGCTTGGAAGAGCAGCAGAGTTCGTTTGCATTTAAAGCAGCATGCAAGGAAACAGCTCGCTATGAACAGAGTTGTTTTTGACAGGATAAAACGGTGTTGTTTTACACTACCATTGAGAAATTTTAACCAAACGATGTTACAGACTTTTCATTAAGACCCTAAAGAATCATATCAACTTGTGGAAAATGGGCATCCGATGACCCCTTTAATATAGTCATAGTTAAACATATAACGCTGTAAAATAAAACGATATACAATTATATGAAAATTAAGAAGAAGGTGAAGAAGAAGAAGAAGAAGGTGGTGAAGAAGAAGAAGGTGAAGAAGAAAACGGTGGTGGTGAAGAAGAAGAAGAAGAAGAAGAAGAAGTGGTGGTGGCGGGCTGCTAATGAGATGAATGGGAACCGATTATTACATAATTTAATGTTTATTTTTTAAGCTGCACTATCAGTATGAATAATGCATGACATGTAAATAAAAAAGGTTAAAAACTAAAAAAAGTGCCAACTCCCAAAAGTGATCAAATATACATGAACAATTGAGTGATTTACTGCTCAAATGATTGATCATGTGTTTAGCTCTTCTAAGGTGGTGAAGAAGAAGAAGGTGAAGAAGAAAACGGTGGTGGTGAAGAAGAAGAAGAAGAAGAAGAAGAAGAAGTGGTGGTGGCGGGCTGCTAATGAGATGAATGGGAACAGATTATTTCATAATTTAATGTTTATTTTTTAAGCTGCACTATCAGTATGAATAATGCATGACATGTAAATAAAAAAGGTTAAAAACTAAAAAAAGTGCCAACTCCCAAAAGTGATCAAATATACATGAACAATTGAGTGATTTACTGCTCAAATGATTGATCATGTGTTTAGCTCTTCTCCAGCTTCCACACGCCTCTATTTGTTCCTGCGCACTCTGTAGTGTCAAGGTTTTCCTCTCTAAAAAACATATGGCATTGCGAGCATCTTCCAAGAGAGGCTGTTTTACATGGTCTCAAGAGAGAAGGTAAGCAAAACAATGGAGAATCCAGATTGTGAGATAATAAATCTGTTAAACCGGTTTCATTGTTCTTCCCTGAAGTCCTAGTTGCCATGAATTATGTTGACATAATTGCCAACATGCCTCGAAGCAAGTATAAGCAGCTTCAGGAAGCAAGGTCGCATCTCATCATGCAATAACTCGCGAACAACATACACATACATATACGCAATCCAAAATATTACCTCCTGATCCATCTCTGGAGGATATTGATAGATAGGTTGCAGATGAAACTGACTGGAATTAGTAGTTTATGCAGCTTAGTACATTTACACAGCATTCCAGTTAATCATGCAGGTGTCAACTGAAGCTTATGGCCTTGAGAGCAGAAGAAACAATGGTAAATCCCATCATCGTCTTTGGGAAATAAAGTAGCTGAATAGTTGCTCCCAGGCAAAACCGAAGAAAAGCAGAAGGAAAAAAATGATGAAACAAACTCAAAACTGAGAGCAAATATAAAAAAAACACACTGCCGAATGTCTCCATTAACAATCAAACATTAGTGAACTTCTCAAACATGTATAGCAGCATTGATCATGAGGTGATTCAATATTTTTAAGGGAGTTGTAAAGTGTCTATCATTGTGAAAGACACTATATGAAGGGCCATTTTAACAAGATTTGTTACAGCACAGCCAGTGCATTTGATCATAATCAGTTCATTTTGTTATTATTTACACACAAACACATCTTATTTATCCAAGTCTGCAAGGCCTCCTATTGTATGATGAAATGTATGGGGCTCCAATAATCTGTGCTTTGCACATTTATCTAGACATTTGACCTTGCAAGGCTGCGAAACACAAAGCATTGGAGCTTCTTATGACAGTTTGTATGAAGGAAGTACTGAAATGTGTCATCCATTAAATGCACACTTCTCAAATGTGAATATGGACTGTTGTTAACAAAAATGGCAATCAATGGAACTGAGTGCAGTTCAGGTTTGGGTAAAAGCCAACAACTGATTCACCATATGAGTGCTATATCCATGCTCTTTTGCACATTTTCAAAGACAAACAAGACTCTGATGGAACTGAAAGGTTTGAAAGCTTTTCACAAGGTTTCAATCTCGGGTCTGACCCTCATAACTGGCTTTCACTTTCAGGTTGGCCTCCATGTCACCAAGCTGAGATGTACACACCACACAAAAGCATTGCAGGAACACATCTTAGTTAACTAGCACTCCTGCAATATTCAGGAGTAATTCACTACAGAATGTGCCATTAAGGCCAAACCTGCCAGGATGGTTCCCTGCTGGCATTAACTCATAGGGGAGAATCCTGATGGATGAAGGTGAGGTATGCTCTGCAGGTGTCCGCTGGGAACATCTTCATTGCCCCTTTCTTCTCTTCGCTCCCCATCTCTCCTGGGAAAAGAGCAGTAAGGGTAGCATCCTCAGCAGCTTCCAGCGCATTAGGTCTGATCAAACGGCTGCATGCGTCTCCCGTGCCACTCTCAGCTCCTGCTCTCCGGAACAGAATATGTGCATTAGTGCTCGTGCATTATAAATGGAAGCAGACCTATGTTTTCAAACATCGTTACAGAGGCAGAGGATGAGGTTTAAAAAGTAATACACATAATCATTTATCCATTATGGTATATATATATATATATATATATATATAACCCCCTACATTGAATTTGGGTCACAAGAAGTTTTTGTTATTTGTATATACTGTATATTAGTTGTTGTTTGCACGTGTGTAGTATTTACATGTATTTTATAAGATTTTTTACTACATTAAAGACTGGCTCACACTACAGGATTTTTTGCCCCGATTTTCCCCTCCCAAGAATCGGAGAAAAAATCTTGTCGAGCACCTCGATTGGTCCCGATGTTTGACGCAGATTATCTGGTATATTTATAGCCTAATAAAATATATTCAAACCAAATGTATATATTATTATAAGCCTACGTGTTTTTTTTTCAGCCCGTGATAATACATTACAAAAACATTGTAAAAATTAAAAATTACCTTATAAAAGAAAGTCATCTCACTCCCAAAGACTATAGAATACCCAAGACGTGTCACTCATGCAACAAAATGCAACACTCAATATGGCCGCTCTATCGAACAAAGCTTCTGAGCAAAAGAGCCCATCGCTAATAGGTAAAGTCAGCGCGTCACTGCAGCTGCCGTTAGAAGCATAGATATAAATATCTACATATCTATGGTTAGAAGTTCAGGTTGCTATAGAAACAGTTAACGCTCTGAGACGTGCGGCATGCGCACTGGCTGATCTAGCCTGAAAAATAAGCTTTATTTAACGCTATTTGAGCAAAATAAATAACATTTATGATACAATTGTTGTCAGATTTCATTGGTGATTTCAAATATGAAATTTAGTCGTAAGCTTAGTGAACAGTTTTGGAGAATTTGATGTTTCCCCATTCAAAGAGATAGAAGTTGCACTTGCATGCCCGAGAGGCGTTTCAAAGATGACCGCCGAGAGATATGACTTTGCCACTCCTTTATTACATCTACTATCATCACTTGGATTACAGCAACACGCTCCTTCTTTTTGAACATGATGGGCGGAATATTTGATATTATTATTTGATATAATTACGCTACAGCACTTATATTATTGCACCAATTGGCCTTTAACTGTGAGCAGACAGAGCGTCAATCAATGCATTGGAGAATACGGCGAACATAAATGTAAAGAAACGAAGTTGCTTGTCAGATTTTCCTTACAAGCAACCATATTTTTTTTAATTAGCCCAAAAAATCCGCAACCCGGGATTTTTTTACACAACTTTACAAAAAAAGAAGCCCAAAGTCGCGTATAATAAGTGGACTTGGCAACTGTGCTGCTCCGTTGGATAGTGGAGACGGAGGAGTTTTGTAGTAACACGACTGTATGTAAAATGTATCAAAAATGTATCACAACCGTAAGGAGAAAGAGAAGCGCTGGGGTGAAATCGCCTCAGTTTTGAACGCACCGGGTGACTGTAGAAAGCCGCTAGCGCGCTGGCTAACATATGTAAACATCACTGAAATATCAATGACAATCTGCTGCGTGAGATCACGTGAGGCACTCCCTCTGGCATGATAATCTTAATAATATCTTGTAGTGTGTGATGCGCTACGATTCACAAATCTTGTAGTGTGTGCATGTTTAAGATTTGAGGGAAGATAATCCACAAAGATTCTCCTTATGTGTGCAACCAGATTTCATAATCGGTTAGGATTTTAAAAATCCTGTAGTGTGAGCCCGGCTTAAGATATATTATGAGTTACTAATTACTAATGCTGGGTTCAGACTACACAATATTTTTGTCAGTCACGATAGTCACTGTGTCAGATTACATGATTTTGACTCCTAAAATCTTGTCGTGTCCTGGACAAGAAACATGTCAGACTACACGTTGCTTCCCGACCATTCATCGCATGATGTCATCGAGAAGGCGGAACTAGCAACTGACTTCAGAAAACAAGAGTGTAAACATTACTGAAGCACTTCAGCTATAGTTCGCCAGCATTTTTCTTTCTTTGTTCCGTCATGGTAGGCCCTCGATGACACATCATACAGGCAGGAGTACTGTTGCCACAGCTCCACGAACCTTTCCTCCATCTCATAATTCCACCTAACAGCACCATCATCTCTCTTTCGTTTTGCCATGTTTGAAACCTGTGTATGAGAGAGCTTCTGTGCCGCTATTGGTCAACGTCACCAATGTGACAGAACTCGTCGTGGACGACAGAAAAAAAATTAAACATGCTAGTCTTTCTGTCGTGATGTCGTGAAGCATCGCAGACGCGGAATCGGTTGTCGTCCACTATGACACACTACACGTGCTGAAACGATGGAATCTTGCACCCCGATGCCCATTGTCGTTTACGAATCCCCACGACACCCTACGTCAAGCAAATCGTAGCAAAACCGGGCTAAAATCGCGTAGTCTGAACTGGGCATAATTTATCTCTGATAAACTTTCCGTCACTAGCTGGGTTTCCATCACCCTGCTTTTAATGCGCATTTTGAAGTATTGCATCAGAATCGAAAGATGGAAACGTTGAATTTCAAATAAAAATGCCTTAATTCGCAAAAAAGTTTTTCCGCTCGCTTGTGGTGGTTTTTGACTTGTGCGAAAAAGGGTTAATGCGAATAATGGCAGATGGAAATGCATTTTGCGAATAAATTCCTCCAAGCGCATCAAAAAAGTCATGTGACTTTGCACTATGGGATGGCATAACCTGACTAACCAGCAGACCGATCTCATCCCACAGCATCTCAAATGTTGTTTTGGTCATTCGGAAATGCACGAGCAAAGTCTATCAAAGTATTTCTGTATAATTGCCTCCCTGAAATGTCTTCCACGACTGCGTTCCCAAACAGCAGCATCCACCTCTGAAAGCAATGACCGCATTCATTGCGTTTCATCTGCTCGCTCTGAGGCGCAAGTAATTTATAACTTATGAAAATTATTATATTCTCCTACTTTTCTTAGTGATTTATAGTGCCAGTTTATCAGGAAGTGACAATTTTGTTCTCTTTGACTCGTTGGATG